GAAATTTTTGAGATGTTATTCTAGCAGATGATAAGTCAATGTTCTACAGATATCAACCAACAGTCCATTTTTTGTAACAAAATGCGTGCGGAATAATTTTAAATATCAACTTTTATGAAATATAGATTGTTTAGTATTATGGATATTGTCTCCAAATAAACGCACCGAACATAATAATTCTTAAAAACTCGAAAACAATAATAGACACGAATGACTAATAAACTCAATAAAAAAACGTTGTTTTTCTTCTCCTTTTTTTTATTTAATGGACAATATCCAGGGGATAAATCACCCAACTCCTTGGGAAAAAACGGCGTTGTTTACTCGGAGGTTGATGTCACGAAACAACAACTCTATATTAGAGGATATACAAAGTTTCCTGATTTCTTACTTGTAGTAACGAAGTACACTTTCACGCAAAGTTATTTGAAATTTAGTTTATTGTTTAGAAAATGATTATTTAATTTGCTTTTTGAAAACAAGTTTGTAAACACATGAATTGCAAATATTTTTATGTATAAATACGCTGTCACGTAACAAAAATAATGACAATTTTTAATTAAAAAAGCTTCACAAGAATAGGATAAATTATATTTTAATATAATAATAATAATCTATTTACAAAAAAATACAATAATAATAATTATAATTACAAAGTATTATATTAATTTAAAACAGTATCTGTGAATAAAATATACTCGATAAGCGTATAAACGCTTGTTTCGGGAAAAACAAAAGAAATCTATTTAAAATCTAAAATAATATTTAGAAGTAACATAAACTACTTAAATCGATTTAAACATAAATAAACTAAAAATATAATCTAATGTAGGAATTATAAATTAGATTACCATTTTCTTATTTTTTTTTATTTATTTTTTTTTATTATTAAAAATCCAAAAATTTAAAAATCTAAAATCTTAAAAACTTAAAAACCTGCACAATCATTTTTTTGGGATATATAATGTTTCATTTTCAAAATAACCATACTGCGAAAGTTAGCTAGAATAAATTGTTTTAGTCTTTTTTTAAAAGTATACAAGTTTAATTCAGTTTGAATGCTCTTAGAAATTACATTGTACAGTTTGGGTGCGAAATAGGAAAATGATCTCTGTGAAACCATTTTAAACATTAATGGAGCTAAATAACGACATTTTTGTCTAGTATTATATTAATGATGTACTAGGCTACTAGACCTTGAGGTTTACGAATATATGTGTTTCTACAGCAAAAAAATACAATTGTCTTAGATCTTCTATTTTTGTTTCAGTATATAAGGTTTCTGTAGGATATCTAGATTTTTTAAATAAATTAACTTTAGAAACAGCCGTTTTGTGACTTCTAAAGAGTGAAGGTGTGTTTTCAAAGCTGCACCCCACACAGTGATTGCATACCGAAGATGGCTTTCAACTGGAGCAGAATAAAGAGTTTTAAAATGTTGTAATGGTAAAATATCTCTTAAAAAATTGAATTTGTACAAAATACTGCATAGTTTATTTACCGTGTAAGATATGTGTAGGTTCCATTTTAAATTACTCCAAGGTTTTTAATTTTATTTTTATCTGAAATGGAAAAAAAGTCTCAGCCATCAGTAATTTTTAAGTAATCAAACGGTGGTGCACCACATAAATTGCAGCTAAATGGTAAATAATGAGGTTTCTCTATATTTACAGTCAATCATTTTTTTATCCAAAAATTTTATAATAATTAGAAAGTATTTTTTCACTTTAGTTTTTAAGTTAATCCAGCTATCAGAATAGAAAATACCTGTATCATCTATACTTCCTTGTAAAAACAAATCATTTACATACATGTTAAAAAGAATAGGACCCAGTATAGATCCCTGTTGTACTCCATATTCGATAGATTGCAATCTACTGCAAACTTCATCCACTCTTACTGCCTGAAATCTATCACTTAAATAAATTTCAAACAATTTTAATGAATTAGCTCATATGCCAATGCTCTCTAAGGGTTGGAGGAATAGATTGTGACATACAGTGTCGAAAGCTTTCGACCATTCAATAAATATGCACAAACATGGTTTGCTTTCATTCAGGGATGTTGTTATTTTTAAAGTTAGATTTAGAATAGCATCTTCCGTTGATTTTTTTTCTCTAAATCCGTACTACTGTTCAGATATTATATTAAATTTGTTTAAGTATGATTAAAGCCGATTTTTTATAAGTTTTTAGAAAATTTTAGACAAGTGTGTAACTTGTGAAATAGGTCGATAATAAGTATCATCCGTTATAGATGTAATAATGGTATTTTTAAATGGATAAATGTATACATTTATTTAAAATATATGTTAAAGGTTGACAGATATATTGTGAAATTGTTTTAAGAGTTTCAGCTTTGATATTATCACAGCCTTATGATTTTTGAGTTCGGTAATTATTACTTTAATCTCATTGAATTTGACTGTCGCAAAGAAAAAGAATTTGGAAAAGAAGTCTTCCTTAATGTAAAATTTTTATCGATTTTAATTTTTTTTACAAGTTTTTTACCCATATTGGCATACGTGTTATTGAATTCATTAGCTATTTCATATTTGTCTGTCAAAAGGACTACCTGTTTAAACACGATAATTTCACCTGTTTTCGAGAAAAACGCAATTGTACAGTTCAGAGTCTCAGAAGGATATTTCAAAAAATATTTTATTTATGAAAAGTGTGCTTTGGAGTGTCAGATAATTGTGTCTGGTAAATGTCAGTTCTTGCCAATGAATTATTTTTGCTGTGAGGTTACAGTCTATTGTTGCATTTTTTAAAGCTTTTTCGACTGAAATGCCTCGTCACAATCATTTTGCGAATGAAGAAATGCGGGATATGGTTTGTGTATATGCACAAGAAAATTTTTGCGGCCGCATGGCAGCCAGAAGGTATGAATTGTTATATCCAGACAGAAGGCAACCAAATCACAAAACTTTTGCAAATCTATTTCATCGTTTGGGTGAAACCGGGTCATTTCATAGTAAAAATATGGGTGTTCGTCCGAAACAAATCACACCTAATGAAGAAGATGAAATTTTGGTTCGAGTAGATGAAAATCCTGAAGTAAGTTCACGTCAACTGGCAATAACAACAGGAGTAAGTCAGTCGTCTATTATTAGAGTTTTAAAGAAAGAAAAGTTTCATCCTTATCACTTCACTCCTGTTCAAAATTTGCTTCCAAGAGATCTCCCAAGACGGTTACAGTTCTGCCAACGTATTTTCAATAAACATAATGATGACCGAAATTATATTAAAAATATTATGTTCACCGATGAAGCGACTTTTACTAGACGAAGTGTTTTTAATTATCGAAACAGTCATCACTGGGAAGAAAAAACCCGAGTTTAAATTTAATATTTGGTGTGGCATTATAGGCGACCAACTACTAGGGCCATATCGTCTTCCTCCAAATTTAAATGGAGATTCCTATTTATTTTTTTTGCAAAATACTTTGAGATATTTTAGATGATATGCCACTAGATGTAAGAAGGAAAATGTGGTTTATGCAGGATGAAGCTCCACCTCATTTCCCATTAGTTGTTAGAAATTATCTAAGTGACATATTTCCTCAACGTTGGATTGGCAGAGGAAGTAATTTTGAATGGCCACCAAGAAGTCCTGACTATAACCCTCTTGATTTTTATATATGGGGACATATGAAGTCCTTAGTTTATACCCAGGAAATTAATTCACGAGACGAACTCTGGAGGAACATACAAAATGCGGGTAATTTTATAAGGGGACAGAATAATATTTTCTTTGCCATCCGAAAGTCCTTTATTAAAAGAATTAGAAAAGGCATAGAAGTCGGAGGAGGCCACATTGAACATTTAATTTAAGTTTGCTTTTTTTATGTTAAATTATTGTTTTTAATTTTGCTTTACCGTTGAAATAGAAGCCTTACGTTACAAGTTTTCTTATTGTGTTATTTGGAATCCCCTTCTGAGACACTGAACTGTTCAATTACGTTTTTCTCGAAAACAGGTGAAATTATCGTGTTTAAACAGAAGTACCAATATTACGTAGAAATAATTTTTAGGTAATATTTTCCAATCAAAAGTACTAAAAAGTTTCGCCAAAAAAATTTAACACCTAATTTCATAATCAAGAATCATTCACGTGGCGCCCCCTGCAACAAAATCTGAAATATTACATAAAATAATATTCCTTTTTCAAAGATATGCCTTTGTGCCGATTTTGATAACAATTCATAAATAAACAGTGACATATCGCCATATTTTGGTCCAAATAACCTGCCCTTAGCTTATGTCCCAATAGTTATGAATCACCCTGTATAGTATATAGGCTAAAACTTAGGTATAAAATAATAATTAAAGTGGTTGTTCAGATAATAAAAGTATAAAAATGTTCTTCAATATAATTTATTTAGTGGAGTTATTTCGTAATTTAATTTTTTCCTTCAGGGTTTCTCTCGTAATAAGTTGGTTATTTTATTAATTCACTGTTCGTCTTTTTAAAAACTTTGCTAGGTTTCTTACTTTTTTTTATTTGAATGTTTTGTTTATCTATGTCGTTTTCGGTAGTTATTTCTGCTCGTTGTGTGGAGTATACTCTTGTTGCCTATATGTTCAGATTTGAACATAATAAATCAACATCCTGTATATCAAATTAATTATTTATTTAATTAAAATATTTAATTTCATATGCAGCGTTCCAGTTTCGCCTCGAGTTCGATGTGTAAATTATAATAATAAAAAATGCTGACTTAATTTAAAAACTATTTTTAAAACATTGAACGAGGTCGAAATTGGATTAATATATTTTTTTAATGTATATTTAAATATTAAAGAATTTTAATTGTTAATGTAAATTATTTTGTTTATAATATTATAAATTTAGGCGATAATGAGAAAATAAAGAGATTCATGTAGTATCAATCATAAAATTCATCTTTGAAATCTACTCATAGTCCTTCGAGAAAAATATTTCACAAAAAAAAAATGTTTTGTCAAGAAAAGTCTACGTTAGAAAACATAAAATAAAATGGAAAAAGCTAACAAATTATCACAGAAACAAGAAAAATTGGGCAAACATCTACTAACAAATTTAAAAAAGGATTCCGAGTCAAGAAAAATTGAAGAAAACATTGAAAATCGGTTTAGTGAGCTAGAGGAACTATGGCAAGCAGTACAACAAAATCATATATTACTAGAAGATTTAGACATCCCAAACCATAATTATTTTAAATGCCTATACTCTGACCAAATTAAATTAAAATATGATAAAGCTAAGCAGTACTTAACAATGTATCCAAAAGCCATAGACGAGAATCAAAGTCAATTACCGCATTTAGAATGTAATCAGGAAAACAAAGAACACAAAATAAAATTCAAAAAGCAATTAATAAAAATTGAACAATTAGATCGACTCATCCAAAAAGCAGGTCAAGAAATATTAGAAGCTAAACTGACATTCAGGAGTTGGCTTACAACAAACATCGATAGATTATGGGAAAGTATTTAGGAATTACATGAGAATATCATGATCTATGAACAAACCAACCAAGACGGGTATTTTAAAAATGATTTATTTCTAAAAACTGAAATAAAGGTTAGTAATACCATAAAATTATTGGAAAAACAAATAGCAAACCAAACATACAACTCCCAAAAATTAAATTACCATTGTTTGATGGAAGTTACGATAAATGGTTCTCCTTTCATGACATTTTCCATTGAGAAAATGCAATAACTAAAAACTAATATTCGAGGAGAAGCGAGTAAAATTATAGAACATCTAGAAATAACTGAAGACAATTACGTATCAGCATAAGAACTATTGAAAAAAAGGTATGAAAATAAGAGATTGCTTGTATCAACATTAGCAGACAAAATACTAGATTTGCCTGTTTGCCTAGATGAGTCAGTTGAAAGAGGTAAACAACTTCATGACGTTACCAAAGAATGCATCAATGCAATTAAAAATATAGGTATTGCAAGAATGTCTTGGGGACTCATTGTAACCAGAATACTAATGAGAAAATGGGTTCCTACAATAAACAAACTTTTTAAACAAAACTTAAACCAAGATGCATGAAGTTCCAGATCTTGCCACAGTAATGGAATTTTTAGAAAGAAGATTTCAATCACTAGAGTCATCAGAAAACACAGAGATGCCAAAAGCCAGAATTATATATCCGAAATCCTATATAAAAACAAGCTATAAAAATAATGGTTATAATACTTGTGAATATTGCAACAAAGACCACGCAATATATCATTGTAAAGCTTTCAAGTAACTAGCTGTCAAAGATAGAAACAATGTCATAAAAGATAAAAAATTATGCTCCAACTGTATGGCTTATGAATCCAAATACAAATGCAAAAGTTCATTCAAATGCAACGTTTGCCAACGTCATCATATTATGTTGCACCTAGAGAGAACGATTAAAACCAAATTCAAACTGAGGCCCAAGAAGCAACTTAAACGTTTAAGGGAATTCAACTACTAAACCACAACAAAAAGGAACATAAGAAAATGAAGTCTTGCTTCCACTTCAATGAAACACGTACAAACCAATAATGGCACAATGGTATTTTTAAGAGCACTCCTAGACTAAGGATCTCAAGCCTCATTTATTACTGAAGAAGCTGCCCAAATGCTAGCCCTACCAGGAGAAAGAATCGAAGCAGAAATATCTAGACAGCATAAACTTTCAAAATGGAGAATTCAAGCACATGTGAAACCGAGATTATCCAGTAACTTTGCCATTAATGTCCAACTGATGGTCATGTCAAAGTTGCCACAAGCTATCCAAAAAACTCATTAGTACACGTTGATATAGCACACTTGCAGAATAGGTTATTAGCGGATCCAACATTCAATAAAACAGGTCCAATCGATTTATTACTTGGAGCAGAAGAATATATTAAATTGATATTGGATGGTCTCAACAAAACAAACGATAGTACCATTGGTCAAAATACAGAATTTGAAAGGATTCTTTCGTGTCACATTGCCGCCCAAAAAACTGAAACAATAAAGATAACAAGCATATTAGCATGCACTGAAGAAGATAAGATGTTAACCAAATTCTGGGAAATCGAAGAAGTTAGTCCTTCACAATACTTAAACCCGGACGACCAAATCTGCGAAGAATTCTATCACCAAACTACTACACGAAATCCGGAAGAAATATATACAGTATCCATACCATTTAAAACTACAAACCCAGAACTGGTAAACTCCAAGAAAAAAGTAATGGCGAGATTGTTACAACTGGAACAAAAACTCGAAAAAGATAACCACTTAAAAACACAATACCACCAGTTCATGGATGAATACCTAAAATTAGGGCACAGGAAGAAAGTGCCATTCCACAAATACGGACAGGGGAAGTATTACATACCACATCAACCCGTACTCAGAGAAGGCAGTACGACAAACAAATTAAGAGTAGTTTTCGATGCATCCAGCAAAGCCTCGAATGGTATCAGCCTAAATGAGTGTATACACGGGAAAAAAATTGTAGAACAAATTTCTACAATTATAGATTTTTTCTCTACAATAAATAGTACATATAGGGACAGGGACAATTTGTAGTAAAAATTTCCAAATATTTGTGGAGAATGTATTTTAGAGTTATTATCTACAATATTTAGTAAAAATATCCAAATGCATCATAAGAATTGTTCTACAAATTGTTATAATTTTTGCTATTCATTGTATGAATTTATATTAAAAATGTATTGCGTTTTATGAAAATAAATACGAAAATTTTACACAATAAATAGTAAAAATACATACAAATTGTAGTAATTTTTAATAAAACTTGTAGTAGTATTCCATAATTATTATAATTATAACCTAGAAAAAAATGTTCCTTAATAAAATATTCAATTTATTGTTTTAATATAAAAGATACAAAGTCACAATTACATTATGTAGTAAATAACAGTAATAATAGCACCCTCAGTCTCAGTTGGCTTTTCTGCACCTGAAAAATATGAAATAAAAATTAATAACAATTGAACTGTTCATACACTTAAAACGGGGATATTTATCACTGATTTGGATATTAAATAACTAAGTCAGATAACTAACAAAAATGAGAAAAGAGGTATGTCACAATTAAGACAAAAAAACATCATTGAATTTGGCACAAAATTCGATCGTTGGGCACAACATTCGATCGTTGGCCACAACTATTTTTTTTAAAATAATCTACTGTTATTTAAATTAGTTATCTAAAGGTAAATTATTCAGAAACAATAATAAATGTACTTACCACCAATAGAATTTATTATTAAAATTTTCTCAAACGCATCGGTGCTTATAATATAATAATGTGTTATAGGTACTCGTATATGTACCAATATGTACCATGCTTTGTTATGTGAACATGGCGAACGGCTACTGCTGTCTGCTCATTTATGATCGACATCAGAAAACGTTGGCCAATAGCAGAATTCTGTTTTGTCCACACGACTTAGAATTTCTACAATATTATAGAATATTTTTGAACAAAATTGAATTTTTTTCACAAGAAGGGATGTAAATTATGACTATTTTTTGTAGAGAAAATTACTATTTTTTGTACAAATTTTTTCAGAAGTTAGTAGTAGTAATTACGATAATTGTAATAAATTTCTACTTCTACAAACAATATTAAAATATACTAAACATTGTGGAATTCTTTATTGGTGTAGGATTTTATTTGACAATTCAATTGCTACAATAATGAATAGATTTTAACTCTAAATTGTAGTAAAATTTTCTACAAATTGTTAAGTATTTTTCTACAAGTCTACTACTACAACATTGTAGTAAAATTTTCTAGTCATATTTTTTTCCGTGTATTTTTTGGACCAAAGCTACAACAAGACATTCCCCAAATACTCTTAAGATGGAAAAAACATCGAGTTCTTTTTTTATATTGAAAAGATGTATCAACAGATAAAAATCCACGAAGACAGTATTCCTTACCAATGAATTCTATGGAGGTTCGGCAAATCTCAGAAAATCCAAGAATACGACTTAACGACTGTCACATATGGAACAACAGCTGCTCTATTTTTAGCCATAAGAACGTTAAACCAACTGGCTTTGGATGAAAAATCCAAATATCCTGAAGCATTAAAAATTCTGCTAGATTTTTATATAGATGACGTCCTATCTGGTGCAAACAGTTTAAAGGAGGCACACAATCTTCAACAAGACTTACTACGGCTCTTAAAATCTGCGTTTCATTTTAAAAAAATTATTGAGCAATCGTCAAAAACTCCTACAGTCTCTACCAGAAAATTTTCATAAAAAGATAGACAAACTAATCTCAGATGAAACCAGAGAATCACCTGGAATGATGTGGGCTCCAGTAGATGACACATTCCGGTTACTATTCAAAATCAACTCCAAGACTTGTCAATTCATTAGTAATTTAAGCAAAATTACTCATTCAAGAGTTATGGCTCGAAAATCTCAGCTGGGATGAACCAGTCAACCAGAAAATAGCCTCACTCTGGAAAGAGTTTTAGACGCAGCCAAACAGTGTGGAAGATATTACAATTCCAAGATGGATTCACTTCGATAAAACAAAAATTTATTTGCACGGCTTCTGCGACGCATCTGAAAAAGCATATGGCGCCATAATTTACAGTAAAACACGAATAAATGGAATAACACATATCAGTATGTTACCTGCAAAACCAAAAGTCGCTCCAGTAAAAGTAAAAACAACACTCCCAAGGTTGGAACTGTGTGCTGCAGTTCTTGAGGTCGAAATTGGAATAATATATTTTTTGAATGTATATTTAAACATTAAATAATTCTAATTGTTATTGTAAATTATTATTTTGTTAATAATATTATAAATTTAGGTGATAATGAGAAAATAAAAAGCCTCATGAAAACCATCTTGTAGTATTGATCACAAAATTTATCTTTGAAATCGACTCACTATATAATATTATTTATTTCCATGGATGTAACTTTTCTCTACAGAGGTTTTTCTAGCGTGGTTTAGGTGCTGCCTCAATATATAATTACCTTTCTTTCTAGTTGAGTTTGATTTATAACAATTGCGTAAAATGGCGTTGTTTTTAATTTCTGGTACAAGCTTGATTTTAAGAGGAGATGTCGAAAGATTTCCAAGAGAATATTTATTATATTGCTTATGCCTCTATCGTCTAACTCTACATTTAGCAAGTTTTTGATTTCTTCAGTTATTTAGTTTATACTTCTTTCACTTGTTAATCCAATAACAATATTTTTCTTTTTATTTTCTCTCTCTAATTTTTTCTACTATCTCTTTCAGGACGATGTTTTCTTTTTCTAAATTATTAATTTTATTTTTAATCAACTTAATGCTGAGTTAAAGTCTGATTTCACTCGCCTCAACTACACTTTTCAATTCCTTTGTAGATTGGGTTTTACTTTTTTACAATACTGATATTAAATAAAAAAAATTACTTGTATTAATTATTTTAATATTATTAATTAAAAAGTAAATACTGCGTTTAAACAAA